AATTAGAACCTTAATTACATGCATTATGAAGCAAATAAATCATAAGATACACTAAATCATGCATTGAATGGATATCTGCAGACATTTGAAGAATAGGAGTGATTACCTCAGCATTCTAATAGCTATAAGGCCATTACTGTAAACATGATGCCAGATATGATCGCTGGTGCAGTGCACATATCTCTCTGGGACATGATGAATTAAAACAGGCATGAGCGGAAAGAAATAAAAAATAATAAAATAAAGAAGATTTTTTCAACTATAAATTAAAGAATTATTGTGAATTGGGACAGGGACAAAAAAAAAGCACCCTAAAAGTATTATAAAAGTGACCAAATGACTCGTTTTCAGAATCCATATGCTGTTTTTATGTCAAAAAAATTCAAAATGAATGAACCAATCATGCAGCTCCATGCTGGAGCTCTTAATTCAAACATGGTGCGTTAAGCCCTATTCGGACGGGACTAGTTCTCAGGGGGACATTAGAGAAATTTGTGTTTCACAGACATAGCTACTTTGTGATTTTAATCGGCCATGTCTGTGTTTTTCTCAGACAACCTCAGTAAAAATTCCAGGGTAAATTACCTACTGTTACCTACTCTTCGGCAAACTCAACGATCCTCTGGGAAATCTAATCCCGTCTGAATGCGGATCGAATGTTTGTGATTGCTGATATATTGTATCATACTAACGCTTCTCCTCGTGTGTTTTTTAAACAATCTTCTTGACTTTTTTGACTGCCCATTTTAATGCCAGTGTCAGGTAAGATGGCTACTTGTCTAGATGTCTCTGCTCACTTATGTTATAAATGGTCACTTAATATTATAAACAGCCACTTCTATGAAGCCTCCCTAAATAGGAAAACGTCTAGAAAACACACACCCCCACCTCTGTAATAAACACAGATATGCTAGTCTGTGTCTGTTTCTCATAAAAAGCTGTTGTAGAGCTTCAGAAGACCTATATTTATACTGCACAAGTCGTATGGTCCACTTTTACAATACTTCTGTGGTGCTTTATACTGATTTTGGAGCCTCAGCCACTTTCATTGTATAAAAAAGTAGGCAGAATTCTTAAATGCCCCAGAGATGAGTTTGCCTATGTAGCCCTGCGCTTATTTCTCTGGTGCATAAGGTCTATATGAGTTATATTTTAAATTATATCTTTAATTTTCAAATTATATATAGATATTTCTTTATTGATTGATTTTGAAAGTAACTAATCTGATGGGCCATGTGGGCATGAAGCTGGATCCCAATATCACCAGAATGGCACACCAGGGCAATTTGAGTAATCTATTAAACTTTGCTAAATTGTTTTTGAAAATAAGCAAGAAGATGCATTCTGTAATCAGGTAAATTGTGTTGCTGCAATGACTCTCAATAAACACTGTTGAAGAAAAGGAGTAAAAAACTTGGTCTCTTGAAGACTTGAAGGATGGTATTTTCTTGGCAAATTTGATTAGCCAGGCAGGAGTTTATTACCCTCTGTAAAACATTCAGCCGCTTAATGTGCAATAGACTTCCTTCTTTATGCTCTGCAGCAGTTTTCTCGGCTCATTATAAACATGCAAACCCTGCAATTCAACACCCGTTGGCTTCCCTGCCATTCCCTCAGCTCACAGGGGTTAAGCACTTTCATATTTCACACTGACAGTGGCCAGGACCAATGGGTAAACTCGTATGGGTAAACTCTCATCCACACTAAGCTTCCTATTAGAATACATAGTTCTAATGAAGTTTATTGTGCATTCGTTTGTTGTGGTTTTCAAGGATGAATTCATATTTGGAGAGAAAATAACAAAAGAACATGCCATCCCATGGGCGAAGAAATGAGTACATCACGCTTTGAATAAAAAAATAAAAAAATCCCAATGAAAAACATTCTAATACTGCTGAAACAATGTGAGTGAATTAAGAATCAAAAGGCTGCTGCATATATTTATTGGCAAAATGTACAGACTTTCGGCTGTTTGCAATGAAGAAATCAAACAAAAGTTATTGAAATAGCTCAACACAACAAATGTTTCAAGTGGTTTCCCCAAATTCAACTGAAAATGCAACTTTTAATGACTTCTGCAGTCTCAAAATTATTCAACCCCTTCAAAGCAAGCATCTTTAGTAGAACACCATTTTGCTGTTATGACCTGCTGAAAACGAGATGTATAACCAGACACAGACGCGTTTCTGAGGAATCTTAGCCCATTCCTCATGAGCAAAGGCCTCCAGTTCATTAATATTCTTGGGTTTGCGTGCTGCAACCACCTTCTTCAAATCCCACCAGAGATTTTCTATGGGGTTCAAGTCAGGTGACTATGATGGCCACTGTAGAATCTTCCACGACTTCTTCTGCAACCAAGCCTTGGTGGAATTTGAGGTATGCTTGGGGTCATTGTCCAGTTGGAAGGTCCAATGACGCCAAAGCTTCAGCTTCCTAATTGACGGCAAGGCATTTTCTCCTAACATTTCCTGATATACAAAAATGAATCCATCTTGCTTTCCATACGCTGCAGGTTTCCAGTGCCAGAGGATGCAAAGCAGCTGCAGAGCATCACCGAGCCACCAGCATGCTTAACTGCAGACAGAGTGTTCTTTTCGGCATATGCTTCATTCTTCTTCCTCCAGACATACCGCTGATCCATAGGGACAAAAAGTTCCAGTTTTGTTTCATTGCTCCACAGAACAGAATCCCAAAACTTCTGTGGCTTATTTATATGATTTTCAGCACTTTTAGTGGTGTACGTCTTGGAGTTCTGGCATGGAAACCGCATGTATTTAGTACGTGCCTTACTGTGCAAGCTGAAACCTCAGTGCCTGTTTCCACCAAGTCTTGCTGCAGGTCTTTTGCAGTCACTCGAGGGATTTTCTGAACCTGCCTTCTCAGAAATCTGGTTGCAGCCGTTGATAGCTTCCATTTTCTGCCCCCTCCAGGTAGTGTAAACACTGTTCCTTTAACTTTGAACTTGCGAACTATGCTTCCAACAGTGTCTCTAGGATAGGATGACCACCATCAAACAAACCAAATATGGGACGATTACTAAGTTTGTGTGGGACAATGTGGGACATGTTACTAGAACATAACCTGAAACTGTTATATAATGTCTATCTAACTTCTATCTATCCTGCCTTTCAGCTGATAAAAATACGTTGTTCTTTAGTCCCTTCCAGAAAACACCATTACATTAAAATGTAACATAACGGGCCCTATTTTAACGATCTGAAACGCAAGTGTCAAAGCGTAAAGCGCAAGTAACTTTGTGGGCGGATCCCGGCGCTGTTGCTATTTTCCCGGCGGGATAAATGCCTCTTGCGCCTGGCGCAAATCTAAAAGGGGTTGGTCTGAAGTAGCTTCATTATTCATAGGTGTGGTTTGGGCGTAACGTGAAATAAACCAATCAGAGCGTCATCTCACATTCCCTTTAAGAGCAGGCGCGCTTGTTCTAAAGCGGTTTCCTATTATAACGGCGGATTCGCCAGGCGCGCGCCAGGAGCGGTTCACAGCCGAGGAGAGCAACGTTCTCGTCAGGGCCGTAAAACACAGAGAAGTGACATTGGGGATGGAGAAACCCACCCAAATTAACTTCTGTTAAACAGGCGTATGATAATTAATTATTATAATAAATTATCTATCTATCTATCTATCTATCTATCTATCTATCTATCTATCTATCTATCTATCTATCTATCTATCTATCTATCGTAATAATGTATGATTTGCAAAAATGAAAACTGCTGCTTAGATGAGAGAATCAATGTATGCGCTTGATTATGGCCAAGCATGCGCCCTTAAAATAGCATAATGAACAACGCGCCACTGACTTTAGACTAGTTTTTTTCTGGTCAGTGGCGCAATTGTATTATAGAACAGCAAAATAGCATGAGGGAAAGTTTGCGCCGGAACCAGGGCCGTATTAAGACAGTGTGGTGCCCCTGGGCACTATACCTCAAAAGGCCCCCTATATTCAAATGTGTCAATTAAAAATGTACATAAATTAATTGACAGCGTCAATTCACGTTTGCCCAAAAATAATAATAAATCTATCAGGTTTCTTACCTCTACAGGCATGAAAAGGGGTCAGGGGTGAAAAAGGTGAGAAGGATATTACCCCTCTAGGGGGGTCCAGGGGCATGCCCCCCCGGAAGAAATTTTTTAAATATTCCATATTTTATAGCATCAATCTGATGCATTTTGAGATGCATTTTTTTTTTGCCAACCTGGGGAGAGTTGGAGAAACTTAACTTCAGCCATGAGTCAAAAATATTATGGCCTCCGTAGCGTTAGCTAATAATTTCCCACCAGAGCTTTAGCTAGCTGGCTAATGTTGCGTTCTCTCCTGCTGTGTTCAACTCAATTCATCAAGCTGTAGCTAACGTTAGCTAAGCCTATGTCAACAGAGCTCCTGGGTAACTTAGATATAGCCTACCAGAAAATATTAGGGATGTCCCGATACCATTTCTTCTGAACCGATCCAATCCGATACCAAAAATTCTTAGTATTGAATTATACCGATCCGATACCAGCGCAGTTAAAAAAAAAAAAATCAAGTAGAATTTCTATAACTCTGTGTGTTGAACTGATAATCACTATTTTCTGTTAAACATAATCTACTTAATACAGACAACTTCATTATAAAGAAAAACAACAAATAAAAAAAAATATGATCATAACCTATGACAAAAATTCTATTATATAAACTAGATTAGTGGGTAACTCAGCAGTAAAATTTAGTCTAGAAAAATCACAAGTGCACAATAATTGTATAAAATCGAACATTTAGTGAAAAAAAAACCTTATTTAGTGAGGAACAAATAAGAGACAATAAGTGTAGCACTAAATCTGGTAAAACGTTTTCATGTATTAAGTTTAGCAGAACTGCTCCTTCCTTGAGTTTGCGCAAGCAAAGGTGTCAACTACATCCCCAAAGTCCATTTCTTTGTTACCGTCTCCACAGTTAGCTCCGGCTTCGTCAGACTCAGCGCTGCTAGTGATAGCAATTCCCGTGATGTTCTCACAAAAAATCTTTCGATACCTGGAACATTGTGAATTGTAGCTACGTCTAGCGTCCTTGTCTTTCTTTAACTTTCTTTTTGCAAAACCACTCAATTGACGTCTGTCGATTTTAATTCATTTTTTTGTAGCCGTTAAAAAAATGACACATTTGCACGTATTTGTTGTGGACCAACGCAACTCTGACAGATTGGGGAGGGGGGAGTGATAGTGGTCATGTAATCTTTATTTATTTATAATTTATTATTAAATCATTATTGTTATTATTATTGTTAAATTAGTGTTCATAAACGATTTATTTATGGTCTGTCAAGAATTTCAAGTTAATAATATAACAATTTACGAAAAATATTTTTAAAGCTTGACTCATGTGGTGCCCCCCTAGTGGTTGTGAATGGTTGGTGCCCCTGGGCACTGGCCCAAGTGCCCTTATGGATAATCCGGCTCTGGCCGGAACACGCCTCCTCTTTGCGCTGAACCGCCCCGGGGAGCGCAAGTGTATTTCTTAGTTAACCGACGTGCGTCTGTGGAGGGAAAAGTCCGCTTTGCGCGGGTGCAAAATAGGAATGATACATGCGTCAGTGTACAAAGTCATTTGCGCCGAGTGCAAGATAGGGCCCAACATGTCTTTATTTTACATGTCATTTAAATTCAACATCACTGAGCCCAAAGGCAGCAGGCATCATGCAGATAACTATTTTTTAAACAGTTCTGACCAAGTCCAACTAAAATCCAAGAAAATAAATAATGAACAAATAAAATATAAAACAATATGAAATAAGTTAATTGACAGTCTTATATATTAAGAATATAATAAACCAAAAACTTTCATATTTTTTAGAAAGGATGTGAATTAAAACAACCACAGCAGGTAACAAGTTGTTAAAAACTTGGCTGAAATAGAAAAGCTTTTACATAGGCTGCAAAACACTCATTCGGTATCCCCTTAATTCTATCGGCCTCACCCAGGTATATGTCCTATCCCAGTCTTTACTAAAAGAACATTTTCTCTTTTTTGTTGCCATTATGCCGCCTTGTAAAATTTTAATTTACCAAATTATCCATTCGTTTTCTGACAGGGAACGCATGGAACGAATCACCGCTCCACATTTTGATTGACAGACGTCACAACCTACTAGTGACCGTATTTACTCCTTTCTTTTAAACCATTATAGGATTTAAAAACCGGCTGTTGTATTTGTACTTCTGACGAAGCGCTGTATTGTATATAGGTGAAAAACTACGCTGCAAAAATTAAATTAAATAAAATGCTTTCTTAAAAAGCAATGGAATGCATGCACATTTTCTTAATATGATAATTAGTAACCAACAGACTGATGAAAATGCGGGACATTTTCTCAATATGCGACGTGTGGGATAAGGGGTGAAAATGCTGTGCGGTACAACACAAAGCGGGACGGGTGGTCACCCTACTCTAGGATTATTTAGTGCCTTCGCTATCTTTTTGTATCCTGTTCCTTGTTTGTGAAGGGCGATGATATCTTGTCTTAACTTTTTGAAACATTCTTTTGACTTGATCCATATTTCTCACATGCAGTTCAACGTAAAACTCAACAAACCCCTTGCCAGTTCAGATATTTCATGTGTTCTAGATCAAACTAAGCTCTAACTAATGAAGCCCTTGATTAGTTGCATCAGACGCTTGAAATAACACTTGTTTTTACAGATTTGTGCTGTTGTGAGAGATTCTATTCAGGGGGCTGAATGATTCCTCAGAAACGCATCTGTGTCTGGTTATACATCTCGTTTTCAGCAAGTCAAACACCAAAATGGTGTTTTACTAAGTATTAAAGATGCTTGCTATGAAGGGGTTGAATAATTTTGAGACTGTAGAAGTCATTAAAAGTTGCATTTTCAGTAGAATTTGGGGAAACCACTTGAAACATTTGTTGTGTTGAGCTATTTCAATTACTTCTTTTGGATTTCTTCTTAAACAGCTGAAAGTCTGTACATTTTGCCAATAAACCTGATTTGCAATGAGGGTCGAATAATTTTGATTACAACTATATATTATAAAATATATTATATTACATTGTATTTAATTATATTACAATATATTAAAAAATATTAATATATATATAAAAAATTCTTCTAACAAAATATCTTAATTAATATACTACTTGGAAGTAAGAAATTCATATAGGTTCGGAATGACATGAAGGTAAATAAATGATGACAAAATATTTATTTTGGGGTGAACTACCCATTCAAAGCTTCCTGTTGGTAAAATTACACAAAAATGTACAGTCTTCTTTTTTTCCATTTGGTTTTCCAATTCCACCCTTTTAAGCACCTGACTGACATGAACTGATATGGTTTCGCAGATGTTGGCTGTCTACCCTAAGTGTCACTGATTAGGTTAGAGAGGAGAGATTTAAAATGTGGGCCAGGGCTACACAGGGCACAACACAATCTTTTTGTGTCTATCTTGGTTACTTTTGAGAAGGACTGTATACTTCACGGGTGAAAAGCTTTTGTGGCTCACAGTGCCAGTAGTTCAGATAGGAGAGCCGTAATCCACTCCCGTACCTTTTAACACTGCAGTAAAAAAAGTAAGCACTGGTGCTAACTCTGCAGTTGAAGAGAAAGGGAGACCATATTCATTCTGTCAAATGCAATACATATGTCCCTTTCTAGTGACACGTTTGTCAAATGGGTCAATTAAAATGCGATTTAATCACTAACTTTACATCCAGGGTCTAAAAGGTTCAGTGACAGAACTCGCATATGTGAAAATAACTGCACCTGAGAAGCTTTTCTGCACCCAAATATATTTATTTTATAACATGTTTCACATATATGATCCTCAAGTAATACGTGCATGTTTTAACCGCATTGGATGTCTGCGTTGTTGACATACAGCGTAATAAACACAGAGAACATAAACTCCCCTGAACTATTAATTATTATGGTACGTGTCTTATAATTCGAGTCATGAACTGTTCCCAGAGGCATCACATTAATTGGCTTGTACAACTTCTGGGACAAAAACGGGACTTTAGGCGAGCGTGTAAACCTTGAATAAATGACCACACTAATTAGCTTCTGTCATTAAGGTTATCTATTTTTACATGACACTAATAAAATAAACAGATTTAAATCCTAGCCAACACAGAAATCTCAATTAAGTCTTCGAGCTTCGTTCCATCAAAATTAACAGACACCCAAGGGAAATTTGACCGATGACTGTAGCCAATAAAAACTGATGACAAACACAACTGTTATAATTAATTATATTACATGGTTTATTTCAATCATTGCAGGATTAATGGCCATGCATTCAAGAATAGAAGCTTGTCTGAGTCACAGAGAACATTGTATACACAATTCTTAAACATTGTATGGCATGCTCTGCAAACAGATAATACACATTTATAAAATTATTAAAAGATATAATACAAAAGACAAGCAGTATTATCATACACAATACACTTAAACTGCAAGTGAATTCCTTCCTTCTCTAATTTTTTTTTTCCTTCAGTAAAGAACACAGTTCTGTTATAAGTTAGTTCATTGCAATCTTGAAAATAAAGGCTCTTTATTGCATTGATGATCCATAAAGAACCTTTAACATCAATGAAACCATTGCAAAAGGTTCTTTATACAGGTCCTTCTAAAAAAATTTGCATATTGTGATAAAGTTCATTATTTTCCATAATGTAATGATAAAAATTAAACTTTCATATATTTTAGATTCATTGCACACCAACTGAAATATTTCAGGTCATTTATTGTTTTAATACTGATGATTTTGGCATACAGCTCATGAAAACCCAAAATTCCTGTCTCAAAAAAATTAGCATATTTCATCCGACCAATAAAAAAAGTGTTTTTAATAAAAAAAAAAAATAGTCAACCTTCAAATAATTATGTTCAATTATGCACTCAATAGTCAATACTTGGTCGGGAATCCTTTTGCAGAAATGACTGCTTCAATGCGGCGTGGCATGGAGGCAATCAGCTTGTGGCACTGCTGAGGTGTTATGGAGGCCCAGGATGCTTCGATAGCGGCCTTAAGCTCACCCAGAGTGTTGGGTCTTGCGTCTCTCAACTTTCTCTTCACAATATCCCACAGATTCTCTATGGGGTTCAGGCCAGGAGAGCTGGCAGGCCAATTGAGCACAGTAATACCATGGTCAGTAAACCATTTACCAGTGGTTTTGGCACTGTGAGCAAGTGCCAGGTCGTGCTGAAAAATGAAATCTTCGTCTCCATAAAGCTTTTCAGCAGATGGAAGCATGAAGTGCTCCAAAATCTCCTGATAGCTAGCTGCATTGACCCTGCCCTTGATAAAACACAGTGCACCAACACCAGCAGCTGACATGGCACCCCAGACCATCACTGACTGTGGGTACTTGACACTGGACTTCAGGCATTTTGGCATTTTCTTCTCCCCAGTCTTCCTCCAGACTCTGGCACCTTGATTTCCGAATGACATGCAAAACTGAGCAACAGTCCAGTGCTGCTTCTCTGTAGCCCAGGTCAGGCGCTTCTGCCGCTTTTTCTGGTTCAAAAGTGGCTTGACCTGGGCAATCGGTCCTTCTCCACAATCTTCCTCAGGGTCCGGTCACCTCTTCTCGTTGTGCAGCGTTTTTTGCCACACTTTTTCCTTCCCACAGACTTCCCACTGAGGTGCCTTGATACAGCACTCTGGGAACAGCCTATTTGTTCAGAAATTTCTTTCTGTCTTACCCTCTTGCTTGAGGGTGTTAATGATGGCCTTCTGGACAGCAGTCAGGTCGGCAGTCTTACCCATGATTGCGGTTTTGAGTAATGAAACAGGCTGGGAGTTTTTAAAAAGCCTCAGGAATCTTTTACAGGTGTTTAGAGCTAATTAGTTGATTCAGATGATAAGGTTAATAGCTTGTTTAGAGACCCTTTTCATGATATGCTAATTTTTTGAGACAGGAATTTTGGGTTTTCATGAGCTGTATGCCAAAATCATCAGTATTAAAACAATAAAAGACCTGAAATGAA